TGGCAGTGTTCAGCCGTGCCCATTTACACACCAAGGTCCCAACGACGGAGGAGAAGCTACTGTTTCCAGATGCGCAGCCGCCGATGCAGAGTCAATGGGCAGTGCAGTGGGTGAGGTTTTGCTCGGTAGATATTGCGTTCGTGACAGCCTACTTCGTGGTGGGAGTGGGCTTAGCTGAGCCAAACCTCTCCTTGTTGACGGAGATTGGTCAGTACCTTCGGCTCAAGGGATCGCCGTTTGTGATCATGGCAGATTGGAACATGACGCTAGATGAGGTGGGGCCATCAGGCTTCAACACGTACGTTGGTGGCGAATGGATCACCGCGGGGCCCCACCCGAATGGCGAGAGAGTGATTGATTACATGTGCGTTTCAGATTCGTTGCGCTACGCTGTGGACATTTCATGGGATGATGCATCGCCCTGGGCAGCGCCGCACCATGGGATCAAGGGTGCCCTCGCCAAGTCGGCCTTCACCATGCAGCAGAGGGTGGCCCTGGCGCCGATACCCATCACGCCTGGCATGCATGGCCCAGACCTCCCGTGGGAGCACTTCTGCACGGCAGCCGAGGTGGACGTCGAAGAGGGCATGGCAAAGCCTGGGATGCGGGAGCTCGTGGGGCGCGAGAGGGACGTCAGCATGAGCTACATGACCTTCGCGCTGGCGGCGGAGGCCATGCTGCTGAACAGGGAGGTGGAGACGGCGGACCGCTTCGCATCCACCAAGCGAGGCTTCAAGGTCGAAGTCCAGGAGGTCCAGGTCGTCCCTCCGAAACCGAAGGGATGGATGGCCCAAACCTCGGGTGTCGCCAAGTGGGGGGCCCTGGAGGGCCGCCTACTTGAGTGCGTGGGCATGGCCCAGAAAAGAAGGGCCCTCCACCTCAGACGGCAAGGATGGGACAGCCTGCAGAGACAAGTGAGTAGATGTAGGAACCTCACCCCTGTTTTGCCAGAGGAGGTAGAGAAACGTTTCCTGGACAAGCTCGATGGTGCCCAGTTTCAGCACTACGGGAGCCTCCAGAGGCTTCAACTGTTGGCCAAGGAGTGCCGGCGCGTAGTCGCGAGGATTGAACGTTTCCACGGGCGTGAGGCCTCCAAAGGCTTCAAGCAGTGGGTAGTCGACAGTTTAAAGAAAGGGGGAGGGGCTCTCCATCGTTGGACCAAGACGTGGGGAGAACCAACCCCGACTTTGGCCCCGTCGCATGGCCCTGAGGGGGACCCCATTGTTGATCCTTTGGGGGTGGTGGCGGCCAAGGCTGCGGTTTGGGAGGCGCTGTGGTGCCCGAGGGACGGTGCCCAGGGGCCCCCTCAGGACCAGGACTGGTGGCCAGATTTCCAGGCATGTGCCCGTGAAGCGCGCGATGAGCTTCCGTTGCTTGAGATGGCCGATTTGGAGGCCGCGCTTTCCAGTTTCAGATCAGTGATTGGGATGGGCCTCGATGGCCAGAACCCGAAGAACTGGAGCCAGCTTCCACCAGCAGGTCGTAGGCAATTACTGGAGGTGCTGCACCAGGTTGAAGATGCGATGACCTGGCCAGGCCAGGTGCTGGATAATGTTGTACAGCTGCTGCACAAATCGCCGACGGCAGATCGCCCAATCACCCTCACGCAAGGCCTATATAGATGCTGGTCGGTGGCGAGGAGGAGGACGGTGGCGGTTTGGGTGGCGGGGGAGAGGGGGGCTCGTTTCTGGGATAAGGCCATCAGAGGGAGCTCAGCTTTAAGAGCAGCGATTTTGCGACAGATGCAGTTAGAAGTTGCAACTCTCCAGGGGTTCGCATGGGCAGAGATCCTGTGGGACCTTGAAAAGTTCTACGATCATCTCCAGTGTTTCGAAGTTTTTCGGCTCGGCCGAGCCACGGGCTACCCAATGTTCCACCTTTTTATGGCCATGCAAATCCATTTTGCCCCACGGAGGGTACGTGCTGAGGATTGTCTCAGCGAAGTGATCCAACCCTGGAGGGGAATCCTCGCGGGCTGCAACCAGTCTGTGGATGTGGCCAGGGTAGCTCTGTTTGAAATTCTGCAGGACCTACACGACTCCTTCAGACCCCTCCAGTTCGATTCCTGGGTGGACGACTGTTCGCAGCGTGTTGTTGGGCATACCAAGGAGGTGGTCTCGAAGAGTGTGGAGGTTGGTAAGAAGTTTTGGAGGCTCTGTAGGCAAGGAGGCTTAAAGGTCTCGGCCAAGAGCACACTCGTCAGCTGTCCTGCGCATTTAGCTTCGGAAATCGTTTCGGCGCTGGCGGCACATGGCCTCCACGTTCAGTCTTCCCAGGTGGCCAAGGATCTGGGAGTGGACGCCACGGCCGCCAGACGCAGTGTCGCCACACAAAAGAAGCGAATTCACGCAGCCGCGGGCCGAGCAAAGATGATTAGGCAGGTGGTCAAAGTCGCCCCGAGGGCTCGAACCCTTGGGAGGTCTGGTTTCATTCCCCAAGCGACGTGGGGGCTGGAAGGTACAGGGCTGGCCCCCACGACTCTGGTGCGCCTCCGTGCTCAGATTGCCGCGCTGTCTGGAGCACGCTACGAGGGTGGCTGTGCAACGACGGCGATCAACCTGATGCTTGGGTCTGACCAGGACCCGCTGGTTTTTGGCAGGCTGCGTATTTTCCGCATGTGGTACGACCTGCTGCCCTCCATGTTGGAGCAATCTGCTCGCCCACTGGCCCTTGCGTGGAAAAAAGGCTTGGCAGCAGTTGAAGCATGTTAAGAGGCGTTGGAGCTGCGTCAAAGGCCCAGTCTCTGCCGTCATCGCGTGTCTCTTAGATATAGACTGGACGGCACCAGAGCCGTGGATTTGGACATCGCCAGAGGAGCTGAGTTTTGATCTGAGGGAGTGTGACCCCGAACGGCTCATAGACTTTGAGCTGGGGGGATCTTTGGACGCCCAGATCTGGAGCAAGGCTTCTCAGCACCACCTTGGGAAGGGACTCGAATTCAGTGCAGATTTTACGGTCCCTTATCGCCACATGAAGCGTCTGGAGGGACGGAACCAGTGGGATAGAGCTGCCGTCCTGCGCATGGTTCTCACGGGCAGCCTTTGGCCAGCAGCACGCAGATTCGGAGAGGAGTCGCGTCGGCCCCGACCCCCAGGTGGGCCTCCTGCGGCTAGTGCTGGCGATGCCCCTCCCTCGTCCTCCTCTGGTCTGCCTGCGCCCGACCCTGCCGCAGGGACCGCGAGCGCCGCAGGACTTTCAGGGATGGACGAGGAAGAGCTTGAGCTTGCCGACCTTTTCGACCTTGAGGCCAGGCAGGAAATGCCGCCTGCCGCTGGGGAGGAGGATGAGGCGGAGGAGGTCAGGTCCTGGGCCACCCCCGCCTGCCCCCGTTGCGGTGATGCGTCGGAAACCACTTTCCACCAACTTTGGGCCTGCCCGTGCAATGTAGGAATTGAAGGGACCCACCCTGAGCTGCTTCAGCAAGCGGAGGAAGGGTGGGAAGAGTTTCCGTGTTTTTGGTTGAGAGGCCTACCGCCTTTGAGGTGGACCAGCGGCCCCACCCTGATCGATGTACAAAGCGATCCTGTAATCTCCCCCAGTCTCGAGTCTGGGCCGATCGATCTGGAGGAGGGTGACGTTGTTGTTGGGACGGATGGGTCGGGGGGTGCGTACTCGTCGGAGCCCAGGCTGAGACGCTGTGGATGGGGTTTTCCATCATCAGGGGACACAGTCAGCTGGGATGGGGCCATGGGCCGCTCCCAGGGTATAAGCAGACCGTCCCGCTTGCTGAACTGGAGGGAGTCATCCAAGCTTTGCGCCACACGAGGGGTGCAGCTACCCTCGCGGTTGACTCCGCCATTACCATTCGTATCTTTCAAAGGGGAAGGAGCTATATGCCCCCCGCCAATGTAGGCCCGTGGCGTAGGTTCTGGGCGGAGGTGGGCGATCGGCAGATCACCATGGTCAAAGTGAAGAGCCACACCCGACCCGCCCCTGAGAGACCTGACGGCCCACCAGTTTTGTTCTGGCTTGCCAATGGAGCCGCGGACGCGGCTGCGGAGGAAGGAGCCAGGAGGGCCCAGCTCCCTGGCCACATTGTCGCAGAGGTATGCAGGATTGATAAGCTAACCCACCAGGTGCAGGAGCATCTCGTGTCGGTGGCCTGCCACATAGCGGCGAGAGCGCCTGAGTTGTACGGTCCCAGCTCCAAGGCCGCGAGGGCGGCCGAGGCCAAGGCCAGGGGGCGTGAGCGGGCGCTCGAGGTTGAACGGGCGGCGTCGGTGTCGACCCATCGGGTCGTCTCCGACGCCAAAGGTGTCAGATGTGCGCTGTGCTCCACCCGCCCGACGGCTGAAAGGAGGAAGTTGGAGTGGCTTGCAACCCCCTGCGCCAGGGTCCCGCAAGGCATCGACCCTTCGCACCGTTTGAGTTTCTGCCAAGGGGTCTTCTGGTGCCAGGTATGCGGGGCAACTGGATCGCGGGGGAAATTCATCAAGTTGGGGGGAGAGTGCCGTCCCGATCGCGTTGGCGAATGGGGAAGGCGCATGATGAAGTACCTGAATGAAGGGAAACTCCCCCCTGGGTTGAAGGCTTGGCCTGAACCCAACCCTTAAGTTTTGGTCTCGGCGTGCCCGCTCATGGGATCACTCGCTGCAGCGCTGTAGTGGTATTAGAGGAGGAGGAGGAGGAGGAGGAGGAGGAGGAGGAGGAGGAGGAGGACGAGGACGAGGACGAGGACGAGGACGAGGACGAGGACGAGGACGAGGACGACCGAGGAGGAGGAGGAGGGAGGAGGGAGGAGGGAGGAGGAGGAGGAGGGAGGAGGAGGAGGAGGAGGAGGAGGACCTTCGCGGCCGAGTTTCCCTTGGTCCCCCCTGCGCGGCCGAGGCCCCCATGGCCCGCCCAGTCCCGGCCCCTGGCCGCCCCCGGGAGCGGGGGAGCGACCGCCCCCGCAGCGTGGCGGCGACAGGGCCGCGTCGCTCCACGCAGCGGAGCGCGTTGCGGCCCCGCAGCGTGGTGCCAGCTGCTCGACCGATCGATCCCGCCTCCTCTCAGGAGAGGAAAAAAACACACAGCCACCATTAATCCTCGATTCCTCCGAAAATATAGGAACATATGGGAAGTGGGGGGAAGACAGAAACCCAGAAAATATAGGAAAATATGGGGAATCTGTTTATTTGTGTGTGTATTTATTTGTGTGTCCTGGGGCCCCTTCATCCTCTCGGGAGCGGCCAATCACCGAGCGCGTTCCACTTCTTGCAAAGTGCCTACTCGCAAACGCCCGAACAAAACACATGTCTGCTTCGATGTAATGTATCGCAGATCCCCCGCGGCGGATCGGGGCCATCTGCGAGCAGCTGCTCTGCGAGTGGTGGAACGCGCTCGTCTAGAGAGAGGTGGGTGGTGACTAGGGGGGGGATCTCATGGCCAGGGCCAGGATGTCTCCCCAGATTGTGTGGCGCTTCTTCTTATTCTTCTTCTTCTACTTAGTAGTATTCTTCTTATTGGTATTATTATTATTATTGTTTTTCTCATTCGTCGTCTTCGTCTTATTCGTCTTGCTCTTACCATTGATATTATCATTATTATTATTATTCTTCTTCTTCTTTGAATGCGTCCTCGCCCCCCCCCCTGGGCCGCGCACGTGCCGCTGGCCATGATTTGCGCTCAACCCTCCCCCTCTGGGACGCCCCCTCGTGGACGCCCCGATCCTCTCTCCGCCCTCTGCTGTCGCGCCTCCGCCCTGGCCCGAGTGAGGAGGAAGGGGGCCCGCCGAAGCACCCACCTTGGGTCGGGGGCGGCAAAGAGGGGGGTGATGACTAGGGGGGGTGAATTCATGGCGGGGGCCATGATATCTTCCCAGATTTCATGGCGCCTCTTCTGATTTCATTACTTCCCGACCCCCCCCTGGGCCGCGCACATGCCGCTGGCCATGATTTGCACCCCCCCCCTCTTGGACGCCCCCCCTCTTGGCCGCTCCCGAAAGCACCCACCTTGGGCCAGGCGAGACGGGGGGGTGGGTGTCGAGCGATGGTGGCCATAGGGGGAACGGGTCCAGAGGGAAGCGGGTCCCAGTGATCGGCGCGGGCCTTCGCATCCCCCCCCCTCCCCCCGCCCATGGAATGGACCTTGGCCGTTTTTGGCGCCTGTTTCGAGCAGGTGGAGCCTCCCCCACAGGACGCCCTGTTGCAAACAGTCGCATTGAGCAGAGGTCTGGAGCCAGACGCCCCCCCTCCCCCCGCCTTCCGCCCAATGTCGAAACGCCGAACAAGAAAACGTTCACCTGAGGTTTTTCGCCGTTTTCGGGCTCCCGGGACCCTCCACGGGCCTGGGGACCGTCCGAAGACAAGTCAGGAGAAAGATCTCGTCCTGGGGGGAAGGCCCCAGGAACCTGCTGCGTCGTGCCGCTTGCTTCAGCCCTTCCAGACGCAAGCACGTGCCTCTCCGTTTTACGCCTCTCCAACGGCACGCATGTGCCACACTCGGGGGTCCCAAGAGGCCCTGGGATGGCGCCACATCCCAGCTGGCGTTTCTCGGCATCGTCGTCGCATTCTCCTGGATTCTCGCCCCCCCCCCCCCCCACTCCATCCACGCTGCCTGCTCCCCCCCTCCCGCCTCCCCCGCCTCCTCTGGCCAACGCCCTGTCCATCCACCTTGCCATTCTCCCTCTCCTCTCATCCCCTCCTCCTCCCTTTCTATCCGGCGAAGCGGGAACAATTATTCACTGCGTGGGTGCATGGAGCTCCCCATATGTGCATCTATTCGCACGGACCATTCCGCCGTGAGCGTCTCGGCGCAAGAGTTTTCGAATATAAGCGGGCTTGAATTGGGACGGTCTGGTCATGAATCTGAGTGCGAATGACTTGGAGTGTGAATGAGTCTCAGTAGTACGAGCGCGTCTCTACGCATGAGCCTGTGGCCTCCTGAAACCTCCTGGGGCTTCCTGGGGCCTCCAGGAGCCTTTTGGGGCCTTCTGTGGCCTCTTGGGGCTTCGAGTGGACTCCTCCTCCCATCCATCTCCTCCTCCTCCGCCTCCTCCTCTTCCGCCTCCTCCTCCGCCTCCTCCTCCGCCTCCTCGTCCTCCTCCTCCTCCTCCTCCTCCTTCTCCTCCTCCTACTCCCCCTCCTTCTCCTCCTTCTCCTCCCCTCCCTCCTCCTCCTCCTCCTCCTCCTCCTCGTCCTCCCTCCTCCTCCTCATCCGCCTCCTCCTCCTCCTCCTCCTCCTCCTCCTCCCCCTCCTCCTCCCCCTCCTCCCCCTCCTCCTCCTCATCCGCGCCCTCGCGGTCTGGATTCTATGGGCGCGATCCCGTGGATAGGTTCGCGCGTGGCGTGCGCAAGCAGGGCGTCTTGTGCCCCTGGGGTCGCGGCCCGAGACGCCAGGGTACGCGAGGCCTTTGGGCACGGACACGCCTCCTGCCCACGAGGTGCCTTCCTGGTTCGTCAGGGTCGGGAGGGGCAGCCCGACACAGACAAGAGTGACGGGCGTCGCATCTCCAGGAATGCGCGGCGGAGTCTTGGGCGTGGAGGGGGGATACCAACATGCACGACGCCTCGAAAGTATTGGGAGTCCTGGACTCTTGGGATCCTGGAGCCCCCGGGCCGCTCTGCATGGTACCCCCCCGTGCACGGGGTCCCGACCGCGCCAGCGCCGCCCCCGTGCCCCGCGGCGCCCCGCGAGGAGTACTACTTCTGCCACGGCGGCATCTGCTGCAACTCCAAGGTCTTGGCATCGCTCGGACGTGTGCACCTCTTCCCGGCGGGGGCTATCGAGGAGCCTCCTGGATCGTCCTGCCGAACAAACCGCGCACGAAACCGAAGAGAGCACAGAAAAAGTGGACGTCCCAGCGACGGGGAGAGGTGCCCAGGCTCCCCAGGTGGGGTCCGAGCAGACCGGGGTCGGAGCCTCGCGCGCGTCGCCGATGCGTCGGGGATGCTCGAAGAGGGAAGAGCGCTAATTATCCGTAAGGGCTTCGCCCCCTGCCGCCGGCCCCCTCTCTCGGAGAATGGGCCATGGAAGAGCTAAGTCATGAGGCCTTGGCGCTGTCGTGAAGCAGTATCGAAACTTCATGCGAAGCCGATTCGCAATCAGCAAAACCAACTGATCACAAGAGGGGTTACCACACCTTGCGATTGGTAAGACGTGTATGGTTTACGGGCTTGGTTACCACACCTTGCGATTAAAGGGCCGAGGGAGTTCTCGCAGTTTGGGTTACCACGCCTTGCGATGGATGTGCGTGAAGGGTGGCACCGAATTTCAGAAATGTGGCAAATCCCTTATGTTTTTGGACCCTGACCCCGCGGATCTGCGTGAGGGGTGGCACCGAATTTCAGAAATGTGGCAAATCCCATGTGTTTTTGGACCCTGACCCCGCGGATCTGCGTGAGGGGTGGCACCGAATTTCAGAAATGTGGCAAATCCCTTGTGTTTTTGGACCCTGACCCCGCGGATCTGCGTGAGGGGTGGCACCGACTTTCAGAAATGTGGCAAATCCCCTGTGTTTTTGGACCCTGACCCCGCGGATCTGCGTGAGGGGTGGCACCGAATTTCAGAAATGTGGCAAATCCCATGTGTTTTTGGACCCTGACCCCGCGGATCTGCGTGAGGGGTGGCACCGAATTTCAGAAATGTGGCAAATCCCATGTGTTTTTGGACCCTGACCCCGCGGATCTGCGTAAGGGGTGGCACCGAATTTCAGAAATGTGGCAAATCCCTGTGTTTTTGGACCCTGACCCCGCGGATCTGCGTGAGGGGTGGCACCGAATTTCAGAAATGTTGCAAATCCTATGTGTTTTTGGACCCTGACCCCGCGGATCTGCGTGAGGGGTGGCACCGAATTTCAGAAATGTGGCAAATCCCATGTGTTTTTGGACCCTGACCCCGCGGATCTGCGTGAGGGGTGGCACCGAATTTCAGAAATGTGGCAAATCCCATGTGTTTTTGGACCCTGACCCCGCGGATCTGCGTGAGGGGTGTCGATTTCGAGCCCCCCCAGCAATTCAGACAACGCGCCCAGGGGTGCTAAAAATCTGGTTTGGGCCTCCCTCCCCTCGCGCGGTCAATCAACTAGTTACAGTAACCAGCAAGAAGCAGAACTGTAACACTGGAAACTACAAACTACAACTGGTACAGGAAACTGCGAATCACGGGCCTACAGCCTGGTGGCCCCACAAGGGGGCCGGCGGATAACGGGGCTGGACCTCGACGGTGTTTTTGGCGATTTCGTGGCCGTTTTTGTTTCGACTTCGTTTTGAGGCAAAGGCGGATTCGAGACAAAAGCGAGGGAAACCGAAAACGAAAAACACTGTTTAGGGCTAGCCCTGGAAGAACGCCATGAACAGAAACTGTCGGCGCTCCGCGCGGATTTCCTGGATCCGCGCTGGGCCCCCCCCCTGGCGGCGCCTGCGGCGCCGCCCCTGGCGCGCTCCGCACGCTAGGGAGGGGGGGGGGGGTCCAGCGCAGATCCAAGAAATTCGCGCGGAGCGTCAACAGTTTATGCTTACGGCGTTTTTTCATCTTCTAGAGACGGCTCGATGGGAATGCGGAGCCCGATTTGCTTCACGTCGACGTCGCCGATGCATCGCCGACGTCGCTGGTGCATGGCCGATGCGCCGCCGAGGCATCATCGATGCGGCGCGATCCTCCGATCCCATCTGCGCACTCGGCTTATGATGTTCCAACCGACTTTAGCTTTGATCACCAGGAAGAATTTCGAGCACCAGAAAAGTACCTCAACTCGAGTATTTTCGCGTGTCGGGCCCTGGGAGGCACTCGCCCGACACTCTTTCGATTCCCTTTCGATTTTTTTCCGGGTGTTCGAAACTATTTCTGGGATGTGGTCCTTCAGTCGGATGGGAACAACATGACACTCGGCGTCCATCTGGGAGGCCTGGACAGGTGGTGAGCCACGAGGACCGGCAGAAGGTGAGGCGCATCTTCATAGGCTTCCCGGCGCTGCCCGCCTCGTTCGAAGAATTCGGGGGTCCCCCACACGGGGGTGGTGACCACGCCGTGCGGTGAGTCGGTGGGGAGTCGGGGTCACCGCACGGTTTTGGGACTCAGG